GCTACATCCCGAGGCTGCTGTTTATTCCATCTACACAGTGCAACTTCAACTTTTGGAACGTAAAATATCAGAGGTGACGTTCTATCAGAGGAGGTTCTCCAACCATATTGGAGTGGTTCAATTGCAAAATCTTTAGCTAGACCATCCGACAGAAGTGTGTCTCTGACTCTTTGATGTTGTTGTTCCCACACTCGAACTTCTGAACATTCGGTAGTGGAGTCCACTGTAAAGTAATCAGCCTTCGTGAGTTCAGTGCCTCCCTTGATCACTCCGCCCCTCTCCCACCGCTTCTCTCAAACCCTGGGGCAGGTCTGGACCCAACACTCTTAAAATATATCGTGGGTAATCCAGGTGGAGCAGCCAGGTATCCTTACTATGTTTTGTAGTTGCTTTAAGAACATCCTCCCAACCCGAGGGGAGGGTTTTTACCAAAGCAGCATAGTTCTCTTCAACTTTATGTCACCTGGGCAATTTGTGTCTCAGGTCACCCACCGAGGACCACGTATGTCGTTGTGCATCCCAAAGGTGTTTAACAAGAAACACACCCTTTTCAATCCAAGCTCTCACAACGTTTCCTGTCTTCTGATCAGATCCAAAAGGTAAGTCGTACTCATCCCTAATTAAGACATTGTCAAAAAGACATTGGTTCCCCACTTCCACCTTGGTTTAGGGGTTGCTCAGCATTACGGGTCTAATTTTTGGCCACGCCCTCAAGATCCCAGACCAAAGCCTAGAGGAAATTTTCCTCTTGATAAAGCTGGTTGATCGTAAGCACGACCATAAGTTCACCCCTTCCGATAAGGTTCGGTCCCTTCTTAATATATATTCCGCAAAAAAAAACCACAGACAATCCTTTATTATCCATTTAATTAATAGGGTCATGTTCTGGTCCCTTGGGTAGAGGATGCCCAATCCCCCTTGGTCCCTCGGCTGGCACACCAAATCCCTGGCCACCTTATAAATAAACCCCTGTTCCTTTGAGGCCGAGGGCTTCCAAAGGTACTGGGCAGCCACCCTTTTAATTTGCAAATATACTTTGTCCCCCAAAAAATTGATAGATAGTGGAAACCATAATATGGAAAAGGCTGCAGAGGAGAGCACTAAAACCCTCCAAAATATCGAAAGCTTATGATTTCTCAACCATCCCAAAATTTTTGCACAAACTTTCTCTTTCAAGATCTCATCTTGCTCCACATAACAGTTGGTCAAAGATACTTGAATCCCTAGGAGTCGCTCTTAACAATCCGCCGAAACTTCTTTTAGGCCCCAGTTTATGCATAGGGTAAAGGGGGGGGGGAGAAGGAAAGCAAACTTGTCCCAGTTAATAGATGCCTCAGATAGGATACATTATTCATCTATAATCATTCTAAGTTCCTTAAACGAATCTTGTAAGTTCTCACATGCCAATGTTAAATCATCAGCAATAGCTCCCCCCTTCCAATGAATATTAGGAGGAAGTTGTAGATCTCTTATATTAGCGTTATTTCTCATATTGTCTAGTAACACCTCCAACTGAAGCACAAACAGGGGGGGGGTCAATTGGCAATCCTGCCGTAGAGAGCGCGTAAGCTTAAAGGAATCAGACAATCTGCCATTTACCATTACTACCGATGATGCCTCAGAATACATAGCCTTAATACATTGTACAAAGTGGGGGCCAAACCCCATATGTTTAATAGTCGTCGAGAGAAATGACCAACCCACTTTGTCGTAGGCCTTCTCCATATCCATGAGGAGGACTGCTACTTCTTTTTTTTTCGATGTAATGATCTCCAAAGCTTGGAGAGTAACCATAATATTGTCGAAGATAGTACAAACTTTGAGGAACGCACCTTGTTCCAGTCCTATTAGGCTTGTGAGGAAGTCGGTCAATCTGATGGCCTGAACTTTTGCCAATATTTTATACGTGATGTTCAACACCGAGATAGGTCTATAATTACGCACATCCGACTTGCTACCCTTTTTATATAACAGGGAAATATATCCCTTTGAAAATGTGTAGGAAAGGACCAAACACATCCCAACATTCAACGTGAGGTTCTACTGGTAGGCCATCCAGACCGGGGCACTTTCCTCGAGCCATCTGCTTGGCCGCCCTTCCCAGTTCCTCAACTGAGAAAGGTTCCTTCAATGCCATTCTCATGGAAGATGAAAGTTTGATCCTAGACTTTTCTCAAAAGGACGTGTATTTTGAGAGGTCAGTGTCCCAAGAGTCAAAATGCCTTCTTGAAGTAACTATATCACTAAAATAGTCAAAGGCAAAAGAACACGTAGTCTTAGTATCTGATGACACCATAGGATCAACTGCAAACGGGTGAGCTAACTCCCTAATTAGGGATTTACTATTTAGACTGTTTGATTATTAAAGACCTAAAGGATATTTTGGTCATTCTATCATACCCCAAAATCCCCCTCATTCTTAACCATTCTAACCATTCAGACTGTTTTATAACTTCAAACTTTTTTAATTTTGCGATTGCTTTACGTATTTTTTCAGACCAAAAGTAGTCTGTGAAAGGATCCCCCCCCATCCTTTCTTCTGCTTGAGAGATCTCCTTAATTAGTTGTTTTTCTTCCCACTGACGTGCAACGGCCTTCATTCTCGAAAAATTCATTAATGCAGATCTGGTAATATTAATTTCAACCTCAGCCCAAACCCGTTGATCCTCAAACAGGTCTGTCGAATTGTTCCAACACGTCATCTGGTCCTCGATCCACTTTTTTATCCCTTGATCTTTGAGTAGGTTCACATTAAGTCTAAACAGAGGTCGTGCCTTTTGAACCATCTCAACTGCAATGACATCCATGAATACCGGGTAATGGTCTGAAAGGGAAGCATATTGGACTTCAGACCAACAACACCTATCCCAGGGAACCCCTCTAGCTAAAATTAAATCCAGTTGGCTTCGAGGAGCCATTGTCTTCTTAGACGGGCGGGGATCGAACCATGAGAAGCCATTTACCTCCGGGTTCAAAATCCGAAAGACATCGCATTTCTGCATCTGCCCTGACTGGATGTCTGGAAAGAGAGTCTAACCCCGGAATCAAGATGGTATTTAAATCACCAAGGATGATTAAATTTTCAGCATCTGGAATAAAACTTGGTAGATTCTCCAAAAAAACTATCCTCTGATTTAGTTATGCCGGGGCATAGACCTACATTACAGCCCACTCCTCTTCCCCCATTTGAAACTTCATCCACGTCACCCCTTCCCTCTACATCTGCAAAGGAGTCAATTTCAGTGATCTCCAAGTTTTTATCAATTAAAATTGCACCCCCCCCCCTAGTCCCTACCGTCGGGGACCAAATCTAGGGTCCATCCCAAAATGCCGCTGCATCTCTGATTTTCCTTTCATTCAATTTCATCTCTTGTAAAACAATTATTTGAACATTTTTCCTATGGATCCAGGATTTTAACCTTGACCTTTTATGACCTTCTGTGCCTGCGCGTCGTCTAATGCAAATAATTTAAGTTCAGCTTTCCTGAGTTATGCATAATGCAACTTTCCTGAGTTTTTTTATCGGATAATACATGTAAAAAATATCGACCGTGGGATCACGAGTACTGCAAGGCAGGATTTGGGTCACTTCAACTGCCCCACAAACTCGTTTCTATCCTATCCAGTTGCTAATGGGACCTTGCCCACGCGTTATGTTCGAAAGAAGACGGTAGCCGTGTTCATCCCTTAATTATAAATTTTTAGACATTTATCTCTCTCTGAGATGTACGTGAGGTAGCCGTGTTCAACAACTTCACCGTTCTCTATTTCGATTTATGCGTGTTCGCAGCCCGTCAGGGTTGCGCTTTACTTTCAACGTTCAACGTCAAATTTCAACGTCGTGGTCGTCGGGAGGGTGGTCATTTTTTGGTTTTGGGGCCTTGCAAGGGCTAGGACCGTGTAGGACCGGTAGCTGTGCAGTCTAGGACCGGTAGCTGCGAGTAGGAGGCCGAGGAGGCCGCAATCCTTTTTCGAAATTGAAACGGTGTGGGTAGTCCTTTTTCGAAATTGAAACGGTGCAGGTCCTACACGTTGTATTCGAATACAACATGTACTGTACCATTTCTATTCGGATTT